CTCTGGACCTCGCAGTTCGCTGGCTGTCTGAACGACACAAGGCCACAGGTGGCAGAACGGGTCACGGGTAGCCGAGCGGGCCCGCTCGGCATGGCAACGCAGTCCGACCTATAACGGACACAAAACCAGCGAGCTAAAATGACCACAGAGGTGTACGAAATGAACTCAAAGACTCTCCTTCCACTCGTCCGCTATTTGGCGTTTTAGTGACACGGAATTGAAATCCTAAAGAGCTCATTCGACGTTCAGCCTCGACTGCGTGCATGCCATATCGAGAACAAGTCGCGATTGTGACACTGATGATACTGAACTGAATGGACCTGTCACTTCCAACAGCTGAGCGTATCTCGCGTCATTCTCCATTTGCCTCGCGACAACTGCACATTTCTATGATTCTATCTTCATATTATGCTTATTTTATAAGGTCGATTATAAAGCAAGAAAACTATCCTACTTATTACTTTGTAGATTCCATATTACCCAGCTCTCACCCCGATTTACCCATGAACCCTTAAAGAGGATGTGGTTTTCATCAACATTGTAGCACCGATCTGTTAAAATAATGTGTGGACGACTTGCAAAGCATTTATTGCCTCATTCCAAAACTGTTATATGACTGATGTTGTACTCCTAGATGTTAGAGATTCTTTAGAATTAGGGTGGTGTACTTTTACTGAGAAATAATTACTTGTAATTCTATGAAACTATTTTCATAGCGTACTACTGCTGACTTCATATGTAGATAAACATACGCTTGTCTTAGTATACGAGTACGTTCCTGTTTAGCGGTGCGCGTCTCGGCTTGCTGTTTGACTTCAATATTGATCTCTTAAACTCGTGTTTATTGCACTTCAGGGTCACAGGAGGAACATTCCTATTATCTGGACTACATCACTGATGCTTATGTCTGTGATGATGAACGCAATCTCTCCCTGAAGCGGCCTCAAAGGGTCAGCAGTTGCCCAGCTCACGGAGCCGGCAGATTACCGTGGCGCCCCACCCGGTCCGTTAGTCCGCCGCCGAGCGCCGTGCAGTGCGGCAGGCCACCGCCGCGCCCTCCGCCGAGACGCGCCATGAAGGCTCTCCAGTTCCTGCAGCCGGAGCAGCGTCTCGAGGTGCACGACGTGCCCTGGCCCACCGTCAGCGCGCCGCACGACGTCATCGTGCGCGTGGCGTTCGCCGGCGTCTGCGGCACCGACCTGCACGCGCTGTCGGGCCACTACCGGATAGCGCCCGAGTGGACCACTATGGGCCACGAGCTGAGCGGCCTGGTGGCTGAGGTCGGCGGAGCCGTCTCGTCTGTCGCCGTCGGAGACCGCGTTGTCGTCAACCCGAACCGCGGCTGTGGTGTCTGCCGCGCCTGCAAACTCGGCAACAACCACTTCTGCGCCACGGAGAGCATCAGGGACAGCCTGGGCTTCTGGCGGCCGGGTGGCTGGGCGGAGGCGGTCCTGGCGCCAGAGGCGGACGTCCACCCGCTGCTGGCAGGCGTGCCGCTCAGCTCGGCCGCCCTCTGCGAGCCGGTCGCCTGCCTGCTGCACGCCCTCGATCTGTTCGAGCCGCTGCCGGCGCACGGCCGGGTGGTGGTGCTCGGGGCCGGCATCATCGGCCTGCTGACCGCCTGTCTGCTGCACCACCGCGGCATCACCGACGTCACCATCAGCGAGCCGGGGCCGGCGCGGCGCCGCTTCGTCGACGGCCTGCGGCTGGGCTACCGGGCCGCCGCTCCGGCCGAGCTGGCCGCCGAGTTCGCGGCGCTGTCCGACGAGCAGGTGGCCGCCGATGGCGTGGACGTGGTCATCGAGTGCAGCGCCTTCTGCCCGGCCATCGAGCAGGCGGCCGGCTGGCTGCGGCGCGGCGGTGCGCTCTGCCTGTTCGGCGTGGCGCCGCCCGAGGGCTGCGTCTCGCTCAGCCCCTACCTGCTCGTCACCAGAGAGCTCTCGGTCAGGAGTGCGGTCGCCAGCCCCGATACGTTCCCGCGCGCCACGGCGATGGTAGCGGCGCTGGGCGCCCGCTACCTGGACCCGCCGCGCCTCGGGGTGGAGGTCTTTAAACTGGAGCAGTACCAAGAGGCAGTGGATAAACTCAAAAAGGGAGAAATCTCCAAGGCCATGTTTGCTATGAATGATACTCTCGAGTAACTAGGCGCTTGGTTGTTGGAAGGCTGCGAAAAGAAATGCACGGATATCGTATAAGCAGTAATCGTATAAGCTGCAGCTTAGCGTCGAAAAGTTTTGCAGTTTTGCAGCTTAGCGTAGAAGTAATTGCAGCTTTGGCAGTTTTAACGGCAGTTTGCAGGTAACAGGTTAGAATCTAGTATGTGGTAGTTAGCTTTTCATATGCAATGCTTGTTTATGCTTTGTTGTTGATGCTTTGTTTGCAATGTGATGCATTGTATGTTTTATGTGGAATTTTCCTCGGTTTTATTTTCACAATCAGTTTTATGCAATTCTATGCTTTGGGGATAAAAAAAAAAACTGTACGCCGTCTGTTTTGTGGGATACGACTTTAAAGAGGCCTCAGAATGTGTTTATTGGGCCACCCGGTATATTATGCAATGTGCATTCAAAGTGACATAAATACACTTTATTGTGCCAAACATGGACGGTTTGCAAGGCAAAGAATGACAGATGGAGAACTACAGTGAAATCTTATAAAATAATGGAGCTGAACAATGAGTGAAAAGCACGAGAAAAACGGCGACGGAGTCTTGTGTAGATACGGAACACCGGGCGGCGAAGACCAAGGCTTGGTCCTGAATTTATATGAAAAAACACGACACAAATACGAAAATCTGAACAGAACACCATTGTTATCATTTCTAGCCGCCTTGCGACATAACTCCATAGGAAAGTCACTGCCTGCTACTCGTCTGAAATTGAGTGCATACCGATTACCCGTTTCCACAACCGGATATCTGGCAAGTACACCAAACTTGGGCAAATTTAACTAAATCTGTTGAACAACAAATATCTTTGAAATGATTTTACTTCACCGCTTTTCTCGAAAATATAGTCTGAGAAGTTGATAAATCAGCTATAATAAACGTCGTCGGACCATCAATCCTCCTTGGCCGAAGGGGTTGATATTGCGGCCAAGGGTTTGTCGGTTGGTTGTTGTTGGGTTTGTTGCAGCCCCTGACGGGTTTGTCGTGATTCCGAGTGCTCAGAAGTAGAACGCTTCAGCGATCGCAACACAACACTCAAAGTTGAGTCAGTTCTAACACATCGACCGCGGTCACAACAGACACACCGGATACCAGTCCCGGTCACAACTGGCACACCGGTCCCGGTCACAGCTGACACACCGGTCCGGTCCCAGTCACAACAGAGTACAGACACACCAGTCCTGGTCACAACAGACACACCAGTCCTGGTCACAACTGACACACCAGTCCCGGTCACAACTCACACACCAGACGCGGTCACAACTGACACACCAGTCCTGTTCACAACAGACACACCGATCCCGGTCACAACTGACACACCGGACACCGGTCACAACTAACACACCGGACACTAGTCCTGGTCACAACTAGCACACCGGTCCCAGTCACAGCAGACACACCGGTCCCGGTCACAATAGACACACCAGTCCTGGTCACAACTGACATATCGGACACCAGTCCCGGTCACAATAGACACACCGCGCCGGCCGCGATCCTTAGCAGTGGTCGCAGCTCACATGCCATAACGAGCCGGTTGTTTTCTGTTTACCGACAGCTCAGTCACGAACAGAGACGTCTGACGACACCGCCCCCCTCCCCCCCCCCGCTCTGGCCGCCGCGGCGGGCCTCCCCGTGTCCTCGCCGCTGAGCTGCACTGTGGGCCTCACACCATACACGTCAGGCCAGTGGTCTGCCTGCCTGCCTATATAGTGTGGCGCCGGCCGGCCGGTCCGACAGAGGCCCCCCGGACGGTCGGTGGGTACCGCCAGTCCTGCTGTCGCCCCGCCGCAGTCCGGTGACGGTCCCGGGATGAGGTCGGCTGTGCTGGTGACGGCTCTGGCGCTGGTGCTGGTGATGGTGACTCGCTGCTCCGGCCGGCCCCAGGAGCTGGAGCACGGTCCCAGCGGCGGGAACCTCGAGTTTGTCCAGATCATCCGGGTGCGTTGCCCGCCGGGGTTCGTCAAAGTCAACGGCCGCTGCACCCGACTCGGTAAGCTCGCCCATAGTGCGCCCAGCTTTTTGAACACAGCACGAGACCTGCTGACAGAGTGACTGAGAAAACTGGGTAGTGGACGCTGTATCGTAGAGTGCAAGGTAGAGTGTAGTGTTAAACCCCGTGAGATCCATTGATGAATTCAGTTAAAATTCCCGATCAATCACGTACCGCTGTGTGATTGTAAATATGGGCAAATGTTTCTTGCCAGTCGGGGAAATGGGAGTCAATTACAAATAATCTTCATGAAGTTGACGATCAGTAACAAGGTGAATAACAAGCAATGTGCGCCAGCCAGTGTTCCAAGTAATTTATCCAACAAATATCGTACTGTGTCCAAAGAGACGTTAACAATGAGGGTCGATTGTCGAACTAAAGAAAAAAACTCTAATGGACCGGGGGATGGGGACTGCTCAGTGTTCAGGGACCGGACTCGGAGGGTGGGGTTCGCTCAGGGACCGGACTCGGAGGGTGGGGGTCGCTCAGGGACCGGACTCGGAGGGTGGGGGTCGCTCAGGGAATTTAGGGGAATTGAGGATTCAAACTACAATAGATATGGAAACGGCAAAAAAAAAACTAATAAAAACCTAAAAATCTAAAAACAAGAGCTGCCTCACTTCAAGGGAAGCCGGAAGCGTGATAGGTACACGAGATTCTAGCTCAACTATGGAGGCCAAAGGACAAAACACTTTTCAACTAATTTCCACTCGGTCCGTCCGGCCGGTTGGCAATGCTTGTTGAATAACACTGCACAGGTAGATATGTAGATCAGAGTGTGGTGTAGATCAGAGTGTGGCAAGCTAATATGATGCTATTGCTATCCTCATAAGATAAGGCACTGTGATTTTTTCACGCCGTGGTTTGTGTTTTTGTTCGCAGAGAGAAGACGGGACGACTTCCCACCGCTGACCGTTCTCGTCAAATAGTCTGCCCCCATGGACCTCCAACGGAAATACGGACATCGCGCTGTCCGCGACGCGGTCCGTGGAGAAATGACGTAAAAATGAGACGTCTTCTTGGCTAGGTATAACTAAAAGTTGATACCTGCACGATAATGGAAGCGGTGACACCATTCGCTTTGAGGAAACCGCCAATAAGGGTCGTGTGACGCCATTTTACGAGACAGCCAATAAGGATCGTGTGACGTCATTTTACGAGACAGCCAATCGGAGCCGTGGTGACGTCATTTTACGAGGCCAAACAGCCAATCGGAGCCGTGGTGACGTCGTTAGCCCAATCGGAGCCGTGGTGACGTCGTTAGCCCAATCGGAGCCGTGGTGACGTCGTTAGCCCTAGCCGAGCCGGCAAGGGAAGCGCAGCCGAAAGGGAGAAAGAACACGTCGGAGGGGCAGAGAGTGTATCTCGGTCCGATAAAAGCGAATATCTCTAATAATGTTATATGTAAACATATGACATAAATTTTAACAAATAAACATTAATAATTCTTAGCTTCGTCGTTCGTCGACAAAGCCTATTTGTAGTTTGTGTTACTTCGGATTCGAGCCATGGTGTAATAAGCAAACCATGAAACCGATTTGTCCATCACCGTTCCGTCTCTTCCATCCTCAGAATAGTGAAATCCTTCTCCTCCACACCTCAAACCCATGTTCCGCGCTGGACGGGCAACTTTATCCCATGCGGGTAGCTCCCTTAGAAGCGGCACCGTAGCCAGGTGCAGCACTGGTTGTCCGGGGGCTGGGTGGCCTGTCTACTGGACGGGCTAAACCCCGGCGACTCACCAAGGTGCCCGTCCAGACCAATGTCTCCCCCTAATTCCTATCATCCTTCCGGCTCTGAAATGGTCTCGTCAGACCGAAAAAGCCTAACCCAACAAAACGAAAACTGCTTTGTCCTTTAATGCTATAACAGTTAAGAACCTCCTCGGCATTATCTGTAACTAACATCACTATAAAGTTGCGTCAAAGAAAACGCCATAGTTGGGGTGGCCACTTCAGCAAAGGTTGTGTATTCAACACCTCAGTCCTGACATGCACTGACAAGAGGTCCAAAAAGGCTTCCTTGAGGAACCCCTCTGAGCCACCGATCGTATCTTTCCATCGCGATTATCATAGCCCGTGACATCCCGAGCCGGACATATCTGGTCTAAACGAACCACAGCAGACCGGACCAACGACACAGTGACGGCGAGGTCCGATATCGCCTGGACCGGCTAGCTCCAACGACTCTCTGGTCTAAACGGAATGCGCCACAACAGCATAGCGGCGTGACGTCACAACACACGTGACGTCACCACGGCGGTACCACCGACACGGTGACAACGGTTTACCGACGGCTGGACAGTGGCCCCGAGCGTGATCAATCTCGGATACTAAACATACCCTGACTGTCTATGAAGGCAGCGTCAACAAACGTTCCAATCTGTGCTCAAATCAAATGATCAGCCTTCAGGCGGGGACTGAAACTAATCGGCCGAGCACGGCGGTGAAGTACCCGCGGATCTGGCCCCATGCGACGGGGCGGCTCGAAATCATTCTGGATGTGGAAGTCTACACCTTTTTACGCCCAATTTAGGCGACAGTGCACACATTCCAGTAAAGTGCAGGCGATTTCGACAATACAGCATAGTCTGTCATGGCAAACTGTCGAAATCAGTTGCACTATTACTGAAGTGTGTGCACTGTCAACATTTGGCCGTAAAAACTGTAGATGTGCACTTTGTTCAGTAGAGCGCTGTCGACGGGACACGGTGCTGCCATCTGTTGTCGAGTTCCGACACCGGAGCGGTCGAGGCACTGAGAGGCCGGGCTTCTAGTAGGGGCACACGGTGATTTTACTGCCACTGGGAGGCGAAGTAACCTTGAGGTATACAGACTCTGAAAACAGAGCGTCAGAACATCACACACTGCTAGCTAGTGATGTCACATAGGGCAGCTCAGACTGATGACGCGTCGTCACTTACCGATACAGAAACGACCGCATTGACAATCAGCACCGACTAGGCTAGTAGATATCACCGGCCAATGACGTCATGAGGGCTGATACTGATACTGTGACGTCATCTACTCAGTCAGACGTCAACAAATGTGACGTCACTACTGGTGACCTCACGTGCGTCAGTGCACGTGTGTGTGCGTCCGAGAGGCCGGTGGCGCCGTGTCGGCTGGTGTGGGCGGTCAGAGGCGCCGTCACTTACTTGGGACCCTGAAATCGATGGTACGGGACAGACCCTTGTCATCACATCCTAGGTCTGTCTCGTGCAGGGCGGTCAAGATAAGTTCACAGTTTTCAGCTGAAAATCCAATGAACAGCCACTTCAGTAGCCCGCAAGTCACTGCCATCCTGCAACAGATCAGAACAGAGCAGAACAGGTCAGTATAGCCGCACCCAGTCACACAGTGGCACCAGCCTGCGATCGATAGTCTATGTAGGTACACGGAGACACGATGCGTCTCCCGCTATCTCAAGTTCCTGGCTTAGTGCAACAATGAACTACAAAGAAAAACAATGAACAAAGATGGTCCACACGACGCTGAGTTATTTCCTCAAAACATTTCTGCGCATTAAACTTTGACCATTCCAGAGTACATGTTTTTATGGATATATTGCAGTTGTCAATCCAAGGAAAAGATCGACAACTAGTCACTATGGATTGACTCACTATGGATTGACAGATATTGTGTAAAGTCAATTCCAATGCAGTTGACATCGGTTTACTTGCACTTAAAACGGCAAAGGTCACAGGAGCCAGTTCAGCCCAGGTCTCGTCAATAATCTCATTCACCCTGCATTGCGTCGTTCCGGCAGGACCTGCACTCTCTGTGGATACCCTTTCTTCTGCAACGTGTTTGTTTTCATTTCCAATGTCCCTGGGTCGGCATTCCTACCGGCAGCTCCTACAGAAGTCCACATACTATTATCTCTGGGGTCATTGCGGCCTATCCAGACAGACACACAGCCGCAGGCGTACCCGGCGGCGTCGCCCGGCCGACTGACCTGCTGACCGCTGCCACCTCTGACTGGGTCAGGGCAGGGATGTCCGTGACGGGCCGGGTGTCATAGAGCTGCACCGTTTCCAGCTGCGCACAGCAGTGAAGGGCTGCTAGCACAGCACAGGAAATGGCGCTTGCTCCATCAAGAACGACAAACCTCAAGTCGGCGAGGGTAGCCAGGAGGCGTACCGTCGCTTCCGGTGTCACGGACGGTGAGCCTGTAAAACAAACAGACACACTTACCAACTGGAATGGTACAAATCACTGGTATTAATAGGCAGTAAGGTACCCAGCATAACGCCTTTTTAGGTAAAGAACGAGTAAGTGCAATAGCGGACGCTGCACGTGTGCACGCAGAGTGGGACCTAAAGCGCTTGCGCGGGCCACCTCACTAAAAGGTTCCTAACAGCAGCTGCGTACCAGCCTCGAGCGCAATTGAGCCAGTCACTCTGGTACTTTCTCTGTTCACGTGCGCATGTGCAGTAGGCCCTAGTCGCAACACATTAATAGACATAAGTTACTGGTGGGTGTCCAAAGGAGGACTCGCTTTGTTTCGCCCAGTCGTTAAGGCCGCCGTCCACTGCGACGGAATTCCGTCCGGAGTCCGTCCGGAATGTCGCCGCACGCTGGCCGCATCCGGTCCGGATGCGGTCCGGATGCGGTCCGGATGCGGAGAGCTAATAAATGTTTCCTATCACTTATTACCAAATAAAATATTGCAAGTAACCAGCAGCGAATACTCTTGCCATTCTAAGGAAATAATTTTTACTTACTTCATGATGATCGAGTTCCGATTCTTCGTACAATTCACAATGTTTGACTCCGATACGGTCCCAAACCACGTCTGTTCCGGACGTTCCGGATGCGTTTTCCGCAGAAAAGTTCAACACGTCGGACATCACTCTTCCGTCTCCGTAGCAACCGCATCCGAAACGCATGCGGAGAGCTGACGGAAAATCAACAGCTGATTGCCGTTCGGATGCGGTCCGGACGGAGCGCACACGATTTCCGTACGGACCGGATGCGCCCATAGGGTTCTGTGTTAAATTCCGTACGGACCGCACGCGTTCCGCACAGTGGACGGCGGCCTTTAGAGCTTTTGTAGGCAGAACCAGTATGTATGTACGGGTATCAAGCCTTCGGGTAATAAATTCAAATTGACTCCCGCTGTGTATCATAAAGGGATGTTCACAAAACACTGACACATTTTATTTCAGAATTAAGAGAAAGCATTTGCTCTCCGCATGATAATCATGGCATAGGCAGAGACATTCAAGTGTTATTGACGTATTTTGGGGACATGTCATATTCGTTTCTGAGAAGTTACAGCGTATTTTGCAGATAACGAGGTTTTCGAGCAGTGCACGACTCAGCCTGAAACAGGAAATTGTCCCCCGTTTTTGGGCACGTGCCTGGAGCATTGCGACACCTCCCGCTGCACTCGTCAGTAGTTTTGATGTCCTTTAGATTGCTGCTACAGACCATGCCACTCACGTGACCCTACAGTAAAAGTCCAAGGGGGTTGAAATAGAAAGAAATGGCCGGCTATGGCTGAGAGGTGATGCGCCAGATAATGCCCCCTCCCCCTGTTCCCGTACGAGACCGATCATCGCAGTTACTGCACGTGGGATGACTCCGAAGTGCCAGAACCACCGAATGGCGTAGGGGTCGGCGCTTTCCCGCCGCGGTAGCTAACGGGAGCCGTTAAAAGGTGGCGCGGTACCACCCTACAGCCACTGCCAGCATGCAGCTATGATTTATGGCAGCAGCACTTCCATGCGCGCCAATCTTGATATCCTTAGGAAGTTGACCACAGTATGCAACTAGTACAAAAAATAATTCCTGCAAATTCATCTGCCAAATTTCAGACGAATTCGTGGACTAGTCAAACGTGGTGGCAGATAGTGGCCGCGAAAGCTTAATTGTTTTGCCGCCAAATTTTGTCGCCAAGTCAAATTTCCCTATTTTAACATTTAATTTGTTTAACCCGCGCCCTGGTGGGGGGGCATTTTTTTGCCCCCCCCCCCCTCCAGACTTTTCACATATCTCCAGAACCGTTGCGCCGATCGTCACCAAACTTTCAGTACCCTCCCGGGCATCAATTTTACACATGTTGACCAAAAAATTTCCTAAGGCTCTGATAGGTTGGCCGCAAATGACGTCAGAGTGACGTAGTGCTCTGCCGTTTTTTGTACCCAAAAAAAGGTTTCGCGGGAAGAGCTGTCAGGCCTATAGCTTTTAAGATACAGAAAAACGTTTAAGACATAAAAGGTGTAAAATTACCAGGGCTACTAAACTGCTATCTTGAAATTTTGAAATTTTAGAATTTTGACCCCCAAACCCAAAAACAATTTTTTGAATATAATAGCAAAAAATTCCACAAGTTTTTCGATTTTCGAAAAAAACGGAATCTATGTGATAGCCTCTACCGACTTCTATTTACATACCACATTTTAGATCGATACCTCTTCTTTTGGCCAAGTTACAGCGAAACAAAAAACTTCAAAATTGATTATGTCAAATTTTCAAACTCAATTTTTAGCAATTCTAGACCACGTAGCGCCAAATAAAGACCACTATTAGACTCGACGTGACGAGATGCATCGAATCAATATCGTTAAGTGGCGCAATTTGAGACAGTGGGGCTATTTAAGACAGTACAGCAGTGGTTTAGTAAAATCGCTGTACCATGAAAACCGTTTGATACCGTAAAGTGGCGCTATTTGAGACAGTGGGGCTATTTGAGACAGTACTGCAGTGGTTTAGTAAAATCGCTGTACCATGAAAACCGTTTGATATTGTTATCATTTTTCTCAGGCTGACGTGGAATTGAACGATGAATGCCATGGGTATTTTTTTTTTGAAAATTTTAAAAAGTTTTTAAAGAAATTTGACTTTAACCCTCGCCCGCACATGCCATTTTCCCATCCTAGAACGCAGATGGGGGGGGGGTTGCCACCCCCCCCCCCCGCGCCATTTCGTTCCTGTTGGAGATAGAGCTTAGCGGTAAGGACCAAAAACATTCTTTGGGAAGAGACGAATCCAATGATACCCAGTTTTACCTTCTCAGGTCAGTCATTGACCTTCCAGGTCAGGTCAAACTAAAAAATGTTGCTGTTTTGGGTCACCGTTGGATATCAAGGGCGCTGCTCATCATATACCGATGACGATGCCGTTTTGTGGTGCCAAGCCAGCTAGAACCTCTTTGTCACACTATCCGACCAGTTTTTTGCTGCTGAGGTCATTTCAGGTCAAGTTAGGTCAAGGTCAATGATATGTGTTTGTATGTCTGTGTGTGTCTGTGTGTATGTTACAGGGAGTTTGAGAAATCCGTGAGTTTGCAAACTCCCTGACCCGTCAGTGAGTTTTCAAACTCACTAGGGAGTTTGCAAACTCACTAGGGAGTTTGCAAATTCACTAGGGAGTTTGCAAACCCACTGACCGGTCAGGGAGTTTGAGAAATTTCAGAGCGATTGGGACAAATAAAAACAAGTGGGCATAGCAGTTGGGTGGCAAACGTCCCGTCCGTGATGTTAAAACAAAGGCGGCTAGTTGTAGGGCCTATTTAACCGTCGCACGGTGACAAACAACTTATATATCATATGCCCGCCATAAATACCTACTTTTGACTTTAAACTGTTCAGTGATCTAGCCCAAATATGTACCGCCGCTTTATTTAGTCAAACAATTATTTTGTTCACGGCCCAATTAGATCCGTTCCACACAAGTGTGGCTATTCCAGAGTCAGGCTCAATATATCGAAGTAGAAACAGCTCAGTTGGTCATTTATGCTAAGGTATAGGCACACGTATGGAACACTTGTGTGGAACGGATCTATAATTGGGACGTGAACTCAATAAATGTATGACTAAATGAAGCGGCGGTACATGTTTGGGCTAGATCACTGAACAGTTTAAAATCAAAAGTAGGTATTTATGGTGTGCATATGATCAATAAGCTTTTTGTCACCGTGCGACGGTTAAATAGGCCCTACAACTAGCCGCCTTTGTTTTAAAATCACGGCCACTCACATGCTACACACTTGTTTTTATTTGTCCCAATCGTTCTGGAATTTCTCAAACTCCCTGACCGGTCAGTGAGTTTGCAAACTCCCTAGTGGATTTGCAAACTCCCAAGTGAGTAAACTCACTGAAGGGTCAGGGAGTTTGCAAACTCACCAGGGAGCTTGCAAACTTACGGATTTCTCAAAATCCCTGTAACATGTATACTGATGTGTGCACCGATTGTTTATGTGTCCATATTACATGAGATCATGAAATTAGAAGCTTTTACCAAAAATACAGTCAAAGAAACTTCACGAAAAGTAAATTTAGCTTGCCTAAAAGTACGCAATGTTCTTAGATGACCCAGGTTGACCTTGACCCTGACCTTGACATGACATCTGTACATCGTCGAACAACATGTTCCATGATAAGTGGGAGGTAAGACTGGCAAAAAAAAGCCGAAATCAAGGTGTCAAAAGCTCACAAGACCCATAGCCAACGCAAGATATTGGGTATTTGTCATTTGGGTCATGACATGACCTGAAGAACAAGGTCATATCTCCGAAACCAAAAATCACAGAAACTTGAAATTTTCAGTGGACATCAAGAAAGGATAGAGGAGCAGCTATACGAAAAATCGGGCTTCTAGCTCTAAAAATGTTGAGTGCAGAGCAGAAAAACTACCTGGGGGGTGGCAACCACCCCCCCCCCCCATGTGCGGGCAAGGGGTAAATGAGAAATACAGTGAAAACACAATTTAAGTTATACAGAAAGCACCCCTACCTGCAGCTTAACATGGTTGAAGTTTTAAAAACTTTGCAACCGAATATATCGTAACTAACGTTATACTTATGGGCTAAGTATGTACATTTTTCATGAAGACATCATGTATTGTTAGTGACAAGGGTAGTGACGATTGTGTAACCCAATGTCTCCGAATCCCGATGATACCCAACTCGTCAAACCTCAACATATGCCAAATACAGCTGATGATTGTGATGCCAAGGCCCTAAAACAGGTGATATGATGCATCCGAAAAGACATACCGCTACCTGATAAGTGTATCAAACGTTCGACCTAATAAACACCTGTGGATCGGCCATGGGTTCATGGTACTTTAACCCTCGCCCGTATTGGTGTTTTTCCAGCCGCGAACGTATAAGGGGGGGGGGGTCCGTTGGACCCCCCCCCCCTTGCCGTTTCGCCCCTGATCG